ATGTGCAATCAGGCTCTGCAAACATAAATTAAAGATATCATTACTGACACCGTAATATTTATAATTTAAATGTAAACCGTGAATGAAATTTCTTTGACAAAGTACTGTTTGCCATAGACAATTGTCATTTTATTAAAAATGTGTTTCATTCTTCATTGCATCTAAGTACTGATTATGGATGAGGTTTGGCCTCAGCACTACCATGGGTTCAAGCTGAATCCAGTGTGTCCAAGGTTCATAGATCCTGCTAATGTATGCATTTGCCATATAAACCATAACACACTGCCTGGCCTTTCAACTTAAGTCAGTGGTAGAGAAGGGCCAATAAGGAGGCTTTTGGTCCCCTACTGACCAGGGCCCTCGGGCAGTGCCTGAGTGCCCAAATAGTCAGTCCGCCCTGCTTTTGGGTAAGTCAGCCCCCTCACTATAAAAGAGTGGGTTTCCCAGCAGCCACAGGAACAATGTGCTTTAGCTGTGATAGGTAAAGCATAGGAAGTGCTGCTGATAAATTGCATAGGGAGAGTGGGACCTATAGGCACTAGAAGGTCTAATATAGGGTGATTTTATCTTTACTGAAAAACTGTCTACACAGATATGAGGTGTATGTAGGTAAAAACAAACTGAGCAGCTTTGACTAAAGTTGAAAATTGCCCTTGCTATAGGTGTAGGCCTGACCTGAAAACTCCCATGGCGTTTTTTACGGATGTTGCTAAGTGAGGCCCATCTATTACTGTCACCGCCTTCATCCCAGTGTGAGATTGAAGCTATTGCATCAGGGGGGAGAGAGCTCATGTGAGGAGCTTTCAAAGAAAGAACTCATTCCTGTGATGGTGTAGGTGAGCAGTAATAGCTGGACCTTTCTTAGCTACATCCTGGGAGTTTTCATGTCATGCTTCATGAGGTACATAAATGGCCTACAAAAGCTGAACATCTTGCTGAACATATACAAACATCCATGATCTGCATAGGCAGATGGTAAAGTTGAAGTTGGCCATATACGGATTGAAATTCAGCCGGTTCAGCAAGGACTGGACAAATTTTAATCAATGTGTGGCCAACCCCTCGACAGAAGTCAATTGTTTGACCGATATCTATCGAAGGAGAATGTTGAAAAACATCTTGATCAGTGGCTACAGCCAACAGAATACAATGTGTTGGCAGGGGTTTCCTCCATCCACCTCATTTGTGTGGATGGAGGAATCTGTTAATCATCTATGGTCGGCTTTGAAGTAGATGAAAACCCTTACAGAATGTCCTATAAGTAGCATAATGATGTATCTTGGAGCATTTGGGAGGAGGGGGAAGGAAGTATTTTTACCTTTTTTATCCTCTGTTATGTACCGCTACTCCCACAGGGGCCTCTTGCAAATGCTTGTCCCCAGTGGTTGCCCTGACCTTGCAAGTCTCCTGACACCTCTGACACTCTGTGTTCAGAAATATATCAACAGTAAAGGGTATTAATGCAACAGACACAATTCTTTAGTAACACCTCTATATTGGTCTTGTTCAAAAGAGTAGACCAAAACAATAACGGGTTTATGATATACAACCCCAGTTACATAGTAAGGTTGAATAAAGACACCAGTCCATTTAATTCAACCTGTGTGGGTGTGTATGTTCATGTTAAAAATCATATGCCTGTATACTGTGTTCACTAAGAAGCCCATCCTAAAGTTTTTTTTAAACTATCAAAAATATCCCTGACACCACCAATTGTAGAAGCAAGTTCCACATTCTTATCTCTCTGGCAGTGAAAAAAAAACTCTACGCAGTTTAGGTTCAACCGCTTCTCCTCCAATTTCAGTGAGTGGCCCCATGTCTTCTTACATTCCCTTAGACTGAATAGTTTATTCTTTATGCTAGAATCACCATTATGATATTTTTATATTGCTGTGATATTGCCTCTCAAGCTTCTATTCTCCAGGGAGAATAAGTTTAATGTTTGTAATCCTTCCTCGTAACATAGGTCCTCCAGTCCCCTTATTAACTGTGTTGCCCTTCTCTGGACTCTCTCTAGTTCCACCACATCCTTCCTGAGGACTGGCAACCAGAACTGGACGGTATACTCCAGATGTGGCTGAACAAGAGTTTTATCTCTTGAGTAAATTTCGAATGTATTAATTCCTTTTTTTTGCTTGCTGCAGCTTGGTGTCAAGGTCCTACCTTTTCCCAGAGGTTATGTTACTCCATGTGCTAGCATCCATCTTGGATTTCTGCTGAGCATGATGGGAATCTTTTATGCCTTCAGGTCTCTGAGGTCCATCCCCCAGAGGGGTGTGGCTGAGTACATATAAGCCTGGGATCTGCACATACTCTTTGCACTTGTGTCTTTGTCTTGCTACAGCTCTGTGTATACGCTCGTGACTCTTCTGGTATTCTGACTTGGCTTGTACTAAGACCATTCTCTGTGTTTCCCTTTGATCTGACCTTCCGTTGCTGAACCCGGCCCGTGACCTGTGATTCTCTGTCTACTGTTCTGTACTGTTTTGTCCCGTTGTTATTGACCCGGCTTGTCTGACTACGCTATTGTCATTCTCACCAGCTACACACCATTGGCGGTGGCCATTACCGCAGCTGGGGTGTCTCGGGGGCCGCGACCTGGTCCCTGGTTGCGTCAAGTCCATCCCCACCATCAGGGGCCCTGGTGAAGGGCAGCCTGGGACTTAGACTCCGCGCCCTGAGGGACTTCAGTCTGTTGGTGGTGGTTGTCGTCAGCCAGTGCGTTACCCTGCCATTAGGCCTACCTGTCCGTTCCACAGCCCTGCCCTGACACTTGGTGTTGCATGCCATTGCTGAGTCTGTGGTCTACTATGATTCCCAGATATTTTTCTGTCCCGGATTTCCCCAGAGGTTCTCCTCCTAGCGAGTAAATTGCATTCATATTTTTAGCCCCCACTTGCATTACTTTGCATTTTTCACCATTAAACCTCATTTGTCATGTACATTATCTGCCCCACCTCTTTATTATTGAGGTCTTCTTGTAAAGTTTCTGTATCCTGTTGTGCAGTTATTGCCCTACTTAGCTTTGCATCATCAGCAAATGCTGAGATTATGCTATTATTTCAACCTCTATATCACTTATGAATAAATTAAACAGAATTGGTCCCAGTACAGAGCCTTGTGGTACCCCACTTACCACTCCAGTCCAGACTTAGTATACGCTATTTATCACCACCCTTTGGACGTGCCCCTGTAACAAGTTTTCTATCCATGTACAAACCCTATGGTTCAAGGCTACAGACCTCTGTTTGTAAATTAAGCATTTCTGGGGGACTGTATCTAATTTTGTTGTATCCAGATATACTACATTCACCTGCCTATCTAAATGGCAACTCACTTCCTCATAGAATGCTAACAGATTGGTTTGGCAAAAACGACCCTTCGTAAAGCCATTATGATTACTACAAATGCTATTGTTTTTCTTAGCAAATTCTTGAATATGGTTCCTTATCATACCCTCCAATAGTTTGCATACTATTGATGTTAGACTGACTGGCCTGTAGTTTCCAGGAATATATCTTCATCCTTTTTTAAATATTAGAACCACATCATCTTTTATGGGGTCAGTATGTTCTGACCTCGCTTTTTTTTACTGTTAATATATCTGATGGATTGTCTGGCACCCCAACTTTGTATGTCAGGGAACATCGTGACGCATGGGTCTGCACATGCGTAGGTGTCTGTCAAGACATGCAGGCAGCTGGGCACTAGGACCCAGGCGCACCCGTCACCTGTGACGGCGCTGGGCAGGCACTAGGACCTAGGCTGCACCTGTTAGGCACAGGGCGGGCTACTTAAACCAGCCCTGCACAGACACAAGTTGCCGTATGGTCTGATCTTGTTCCTGTGATCTGTGAGTTGATTCCTGACTGTTGCTGACCTTTGCTTGAACCTGACCTTGCTGATATTCTCCTGCCCTGACCCTCTGGCTCATTTGACTACTCTTTTGGATATCCCTTCTGATCTGAACTTCTCTTTACCAGACCCGGCGAGTGACCTGATTCCTCTGTGCCTGCTGTCTTGTACCACGCTGTTTGCCCGTTACCGACCCGGCCCGTCTGACCATGCTATTGCTCAGCCATCCATCGACCTGCACGGATTAGCTGCTATTCTCCAGACCTGTCTGCCTCTTCACACCAGGCTCTCCACCTGTGAGCTGTGAAACCAAGTTTCTGATATTCCCACAAAGTCGTAATCCTTTTTGGATATCAGCAGCTCCAGTTTTTCCACTTTGTTAGCTAGGCTTCAATATTTATGTACATACCTCTCAGTTTTGTACAGGCACATATTATTTCCTTTTTTTCTTTTCATTTTTTCCTCAGTTACTTGTTAAGTTCTCTCAGCTCCTGCTGCCTCTCTGATGTGGCCGTAGGTACAGACAGTATTTCTGAAAAATACCACCTTGGGGGCCCTTTTTGTCAATTTAGTCCCTAAGTCCCTGAAATCATTTTTTGGACACTCCACCTTTCTCTAACTTTGCCATAGGTACCAATATGTACCATGACAGCTGGGTCTTTCTCAGACCCACACAGCAATCTGTCCATTCAATCCACAATATGCCGAACCCAAGCACCCAGCAAACAACACACTGTTCGGTGGTCACGGTCATTGTGACCTGCTGGGTAATATCCAAGCTCTTCAGCAGGTTTTTGATGCAGTTGACGCAGTTGACACATAGAACACTGGTAAAATAGGAATAATCAATTAGCAATGTTTAACAAATTATAAAGTCATGAGTAGTAAGCTTCAACTATTAAACCACAACACCCAAAGTAAAAGGGGGAAGAAAAGGCTTGTTGACTTATCAAACGTATACTCCAACAGAAATAGATATAAGTATTCAAATTTGAATAACAGTGGCCCTAGCAGAGAAGATGCCCCTTTAACTAGAGATTGCAACTTGAATCCTATGATTTTTAAAGTTCTTGATATGGTGGTGTCAGTTGTCTTCTGCTAGCAGTGGTGGGGCCTATAAACGGTAGTGAATACTGGTAACGCAATTAGCTTAACCCCCCTGGTGGTATTCCCGAGTGTAGCTCGGGGTAAAGTGTCAGTACCAAAAGTGGTAACCCCGAGCTACACTCGGGCTTACCATGCGGCGCTGCTCGGGGATCCCTCGGTCACTTGCCCTGCGCTCGCGAGATGTCCCTCCTGTAATGTACTCAGGCAGATGCCAGCATCTGTCATCTGGGTTCCATCCCCTGCGAGCGTCGGGACGTACGGGGGGACGGAACGGCGGGAAATTTGAAAATGACATATTGTGACATTCAATCAATACATTAAAATAACATAGTAAAACATTACTGTATCAAACCATTTCATATATATTTTGTCCCTAGTGCTTTGTCCTGTGCCCTGCCTGCATTTTTACCGTTCTTTCTGCCTGGAAACTGAGAAATGTCTATGGCGTCCAAAAAGCGTCCCTTTACGTCAAAATCAGTTTTAGACCAGCTAGAGAACAGCTATAGTAAATCAGAACCACTTGAAGAATTGAGTGATAATGATTCGTGGGGAAATTCGTCATCAGACACTGAAAACGATTTTGCGACTTTGCTCAGTGATGTGGAACTTGGCGCTATATTTCAAATTTCAGTGTTTTTGGTTTGATTATATTATTGAAATAAATTTATTAATATTATATTATTATTTTTTTGATTATTTATTAAATTATAATTTATGATTTTGTGTTTCAAATTTTAACATACCCGGGATGTTTACTAGACTCTTGTTCGGACAGATTTCAGTGAGTTATTCCTAAAAATTACAGGCCTACAATAAAAAAAATACATATTTCCATGCAAAAAAATGTAGCACAGAAATATGGACATAATCAGACCGCTAGGGAGGTTAAACAGATAAGTTGTGGTACTGCTCAAAGCAAAGATCTTCTGACACTGAGGTGTAAAGATGTATGCGTGCAGTTTCTCAGAGTGATGACAGAAAGTGGTTGGGTAAAGTAACGACTTTTAAAGAATCTGTAATAAATTATAATGAAAACAACAAATTATTTTGTATTTATTCATTTCATTCGGATGACCTCATGCGATAGTTTGGGACCTTTGTTAATGTTTGAAGCATCCAAAAAAATGTAACAACATAACAAATGATCCAAACTGACTCAGATCCATTTTGTTTTTATATTTCATTAACATTTTCCATTATTATAAAAAATTTACTACATATGTTATGGAAACATATTGCCATAAAAATGCAGTAAGGTATAAAAGTGAAATAAGATGATGATTTCTACTTGTTGTGTTTGGGTCAGATGGAGGGGGATCCATCAGAATCTCTGAATCATAACATTAGTAATGAATCCAAAATATATTTTGTTCCATTCGTTCTTTCAGATGAATGTGACTCCAGTTGAGATCGTTGAATCAGCTCATTCCATTTCTCTTTGTGGGTTGGACTAGCAGTGATGAATTCAGAAAATACAAATTTATCCAAAACAACATTTATATGAAATTAATCTGAATATATGAACAAATCCAAATATACAAAACGAATTCCGTAAACGAATCATTCTAACAAAGAATATGATTAAATTAAATTATTACTTAACAAATTAATCTGAAATAAAACTAATTTTTTCATCATGCACATCTCTAATTCTTGCTATCCCTGGATGGGCACCCCTATACCAGGTTATAATCGGTACACTGCCATGTAAAGAGTAACTGTATCACTGATGAAGGAAAGAGTATTAATTTATTATGGACTATTATTATTAACTACTTCAAGTACAATAAAATGAAGTTGGCCTGAGCCTCTGGCTGCTTTAAAAGGATTGAACCATTGTGCTAGACTGATGTACCTAATGGAGAAACACATTGTGGGATATACTGTAGGATACCATTGAGACAACTCTGTGCAAACCTGGTCAGGTTGGGCAGGTAGTAGATATGAGATGAGGTCTCCCTTTTGTTGATGAAGAGCTGATTCTCTCCATGTAGCAAGCAGCATGTGACATGGGCCTAAGGTATTTAATAGTCTTGCTGAGTCCTATCCTTTAACTGCAAGGACGAAGGAAGGCTTGCACAAAGAGTGTCCCCAGCCATCAAAAGGGCTTTGCTGTCATGACTAGGAGTATGGCTAGTGATGAGTTTTGGCCCGCCACATATGCACAGAAGATGCAGAAATGGAATTCTGAATGAGCTATGTACTGTGCATGACCGGTTTGCTAGGCCTTAGCTTGGTTCTGAAGTGGGCTCCCTAGTGGAGTGTGTGGGTGACATCATCACTATTGACCTTGGTTTCAAACATTGTGTCAATTCAGTCCCAGTCTGTTACATTTCAGTTTAAAGTATCCAAGTGCTGCCAGTGGTAGAATAATTTTCCTACACCCCCAGCGCTGGAAGCTTTGCTCCAAAATGCCACACTACCTAGATTTCCTACATTACAACACAATGTACCGTTCCACATATTAAGTTTCCAATGCACAGATTGCCCAAAATCTTATTTGAATATTGCTCGAAAATATTCTTTGATTGGCTGACCAGCGACTAGTCAGCAAAACCCCGACTTGCCATTTTTGTCTGGATGGTACATTATGCTATTCAGGCCCATGTACACTTCTGCAGATAAAAAATGTCAGTCCTTGAAATCTGCTATTTTAAGCTCATTTTATGTTGCACTGAAGTGTTTTTTGTAACATGCGTTTTCTGTACAGATTTCTTGGGGAAAGTGGAGGGCAAATTTACATATAAAAAATACACGTAAACCTTTTTGTATCATTCCTACCAACAAAATCTCTGCTTTAACAATACTGCAGATAAACCTCAGCAGATATTTTCATAAAACACAAACATATATCAACTGTATATTTTAAAAAGAAAAAAGTGAAAAAATTATATTTTTACCTTTTGCTGTGGTTATTAGCTACAGTATAGCCACTGAAAATATGTTAATGTACCGTAATGGTATTTGCACAAGCCATCTTTTAACCTTAAATCTGTTTCTAATTCTTATTTTCTCTCTAAAATCAGAAAGATTATTATTGCTTATTATTGACCATTTGTCCACATAAAATGACCACAGCTGGCTAATTTGTGATTGCATTAGTTTCAGAAAAGACCTCTTAAATCTTATATATTAAATACCACGATGGGTCTGGTTGTACTTTTATGTTACTCATTACTGAGTCATTATCAACGGGCATCCACTTAAAAGCCAAGTTAACATTTTTTTTTCCGATATATAAACTGATGTTTTATATAGGTTTTGACTATTTGTATAAAATCTTTAATATACTCATAAACATTTAAAGCTGAACATTTGTAACCACTAAATGATCCGGCCTATTGTGACACTTTTTGTTTACAAGTAAAAATCAGCATTTTTTTGCTAGAAAATTACATTTTTGCTAGACAAATACATTATATATATTTTTAGCAGAGGCCCTAGAGAATAAAATGGTGGTCATTGCAATTTATATCACATGGTATTTGCAGGGCAGTTTTTCAAGCTCAATTTGTTGGGAAAAAAATACACTTTACTGAATTTTAAACACAAAAAATACAATATATAACCCATGTTTTTGTATAAAATATAAAAGATGATGTTATTCCAAGTAAATAGATAACTAACATGTCATGGTTTAAAATTGTGCACACTTTCAATGGCAGCAAACTACGATACTTAAAAGTCTCCATAGGCGACGCTTTATAAATGTTTACAGGTTGCGAGTTTAGAGGTACAGAGGAATTCTAGTGCTAGAATTATTACTCTCGCTATAACGTTCATGGCAATACTTCACGTGTGGTGTAAACACCGTTTACATATGCGGGTGCAACCTACATATTCTTTCTCCATTGCACAGGGGGACAGGGGAACTTTAAAAAAAAAATGTAATTATTTATTTTAATAAATTTATTTTTATACTTTCCCTTTCTTTTCTTTTTTTATTACTTTTATTGCTATCATAAGAAACGTAAACATCCCTAGTGATAACAATGAAGCAGCAGGTCCTCTTTTGGGGACATTTGGGGTCTAAAAGACCCCAGATCTCTCCTCTACCCTGGAAAGCATCAGGTAAAAAAAAAAACATTGATCTGATGCTTTACTCTCCAAAAAATGGCAGTGTTTACATCTGCCCTAAACCAGAAATGGTGCCATGCTGTAATTTCCAGTCTCTTAGACCACAGAGATCAGGACAGAATCAGGAGAGAGAATACCTTAATATAGGCCCAGCCACCCAAAAAGAACAGGCTGTGGCTAACTCGTGCCTCTAGCACTCTGTCTCACTTCTCTCTCTCACTGTAGCTGACAAACCCTGCCCACCACTTCTAGAGCTGGAGCACTGCCCCTAGAATTGAATATGGGCGGCATTTCCTTGCCGCTTCCTGATTCGCTAAATTCCTTTGGGGCGATGCACTAGTTATACAGGTGGTGGGCAAGGATTGTCTCCTACAGTGAGAAAAGCTGGACTGAGCACTGTAGGGAGAAAGTAGGTGCTAATAGGGCACAGGGTGGGTGGAAGTTAGGTGCTAATAGGACACTGGGTGGGCAGTAGTTAGGCGCTAAAAAAATGTGTATATACCGCTCATAGTGCATTAGCTTTATCACATAAAAATAAACTATAATAAATTACACTCACAAAAAGTGCCCAAAACCGAGCCATAAAACTCCACCAAGTGTCAGCATATAATATCTGTAATTCCTACCCTTACCCTCTGGGTATGCCTCACTTGCCTTATATATACATTTCCAATGCGTGGACTCTTCCTCTAGTATTCCTCTTTGTGGATAGTCACACCCTCCAAGAGATTTAAGAAATATACTGTAATACGGTTAACAAATAGATTCATATCGTGCCACTCTGTGTTCTCTTTATTCCAAACAACAGAAAACCAGTATGAATAAAACAATAAAGTGATCCACCACCTCATAGTCCATGCACCTTACCAGACTGCATAGAAAAAAAGCCTTGAGCAGATAAACTCCTTCCAGACCGATATCGCTCTTGTCACTCCCACCACAATGCTGGTATGTAAATGAAAATAGAATGGGCAAACCAGGGGCAGACTGACAACTCATGGGGCCTCTGGGCAATAGGGGATCATGGGGCCCCTGTGTCCTTGCCCCCAAACTCAAAAAAGCCTATGAAAAAGGTACCAGGGGCATCTCATGGGGCCCCCTACTGACCCTCGGGCAGTGCCCGCGTTTCCAAATGATCAGTCCACCCCCTGGGGCAAACATCACATAGCAAATCACAACCATCAGATTTAATAAATGTAAAAGCGTTTACAAGCATGGGATGTACATGTATCTCAAGCTGCAATCTCATTTTTAATGTCATCAGAGAGGCTATGGGAAAAAGCAGCCAC